TTTTGAAGGAATTAACAGTACTCTTAAATTTTTGTATGCGAATTGAAGTCGGTTTGGTTTTTTGCTTAAAAATTACTTGTTAAACTTAAAAGTTTCTTTGTACCCAGTAGAACTTGGGAGCATCGTACGATTGCTCGGTGAGTACTCCCTTGGGAGTATACGAATACTCCCCATTGCTCCCTATGCTTCTGTGTATAAGCATGTAATTTTGTATACTCCCTTTAACATTGGATGTCCTAGGAGGGGGAGTAATCCCTTTTACCTCCTAAACGAGCAATCGGGGAGCACACACAGAATTATCATCCCACAAACCTTCTAATGGAGCAATACGGGAGTACTCCCATAGTTACCTACCAGAAACATCCCAAAAAGACAACAAGGGAGTGCACATAGAAAACATCCCATATTCCTCCCGAACGAGCAATAAGGGAGTACTACCATTAGAGGCATCCCGAAAGCCTCCTATAGGAATAATAAGAGAGCAATGATAACAAACATTTTAAATTAGCCAAATAGATTACGCTATTTATTAAATTGTTTTATTCAACTTTTTAATCACGTGCATTTGTGCAATTTTACAAGATCTTAACAGATATAAGTACAAGATCAGATAAAACATAAATGATACGTCTTACATAATTGCTTAATTTTAGAATTATATTGCAGAGAAATCATATGAAAGTAAAACATAATAATAACAAAACGGTAAGATAAGATTTGAATTATATGCACCTATATGCACATATAAGTATGTACTCGTATATGATTTCCTTGGTGTCAAGGATGCTTTCCTGTTCGGGAATCCACCATCTCCAATCCACACTTAAATGCTGGCACTAATTTGTGCAATCTGAAAAGTATTTAACGGTATATTTATAAGTAATACAATACTTAATATATTTTAAAAAAAGTTGAGGTACATACCAACGGACTTTTATTAAAATCTGTGTGCTATCCAAATTAGATTATTGTACCCTCCTTATGCGTCTATAAGAAATATTTTCTGTTGGTTTTTTTTCTATGATAAATTTTTCCGAAAACAAAATTTCTTTTGAACGAGGTGCGTATTGCTCTCCTATCAATCAAAAAGAATACTCTTGGATTTCTCGCTTAGGAGACATCACTTTTTAATCCTAAACGAGTAATAACGGATCATGCCTCAGGGAGCATTCTTTAATTGCTCGCTTAGGAGATCTCTCATTACGCTCCTAAGCGAGCAATACAGGAGGACAAAAGCGACAAATCTCGTTTATTGGTCCCAAATCAAGCCTCAGGGAGTATTATTTCGTCGCTCGCTTAGGAGATCTCCTATTTGATTCCTAAACGAGTAATAAAGGAGTACAAAACCGACAAATCTCCCTTATTGCTCAGAAATCAGGTTAAGGGGAGTACTCTTTTATTCCTCACATAGGGAGATCTCCCTTCAAGTTCTAGTGGGTAAGAATGATATGTAACTCAAATCGTAAAAAAGTTTGGTTGTGTTTGTGAAAACAAATATGTGTTAGTTACACCGACATGACTCCTGGCATGACTCTGAATGATTCAACTGTGTGTAGTCGAAGGCGAGTCAACACGAACCCAAATGACTCGCGAGTCAGACGCACCGTGTATGCCGCCTATTAGCTTCATAACCAAAAATAAATACAAATAAGAAGTCCTTTTCTCTCAAATAAAACAAGGAACAAGGAACGAAATAAAAGTGCACTACTGACAATGTATGATTTTGGGAGCTGCTCTTTTTTTTGCAAATAAAAACGAAATTCGATTTTTTTTTTAAATTTTTTAGGCCCACAAAGTTCGATTTCAAAAATTCGCTATTTTCGAGCGAATTTCTATTTAACTTCGAACACCCCGTTTAGACATCCCTAGAATGAATCCATTTGTTTCACACGAACCTACATACATACATAAATGTACGAGTACTTAGTTTGCGGCAACAATGAGCTTTTGATGTTGACAGTTAAAATGACAACACTACCCTGCAGGAAATGTATTTAGCTATAAGTTTACTAGAAGTTGATTAGGAAGGAACTAAAGGTTACTATTATCTGTACATTTTCTTTATATTTCTATGGCAATGACCGCGAAATAGTCAAGGGTGGTTACCTCTGCATCTCATGTCAACTAACTTGTAACTAACTACTTTTGGACATGAAATATCAATAAGAAGAACAAAATATGTTGGGTAGTTTTTTTTTTGTTTAATTTTTTATTTATTTACTTTATTTTATTACATTTCATATTTGTTTACATATTCTGCTGGTGGTTGTCCCATTTTCGAACTCCATCAGACATAACTTTAAAACGATAATATAAAACGTCGATCTTCCTTTTATTTGTCCTCAAATCGAAAATGTATTTCTGAAGTGCAGAAAGAAAGTTTATTCAAAGTAAAATTTGTTGTTTAAATAGAGAAAACAATCTCCCGATTACGTCTGCATTTGTAGCTAACTACAAGTTATATGTTTTATAGGAATCCCGCAAAAAAGCTAACTTCAAGTTGGTTATTTTTTATCAATTGGTACTTTTTTTCTGCAGGGTAGAGGTAGAATGCATACTTTTATTGTCGTCACAAGGATGCATAATAACGTACACATATCTACATACATATGGTGATGAATAATGATTTACATAGATGTCGATTCTTACAATGAATGTACATATAATTTAATTTTTGATTTTAAATCTAGCCTGGGAATATAGTCTACATACATACATTAGCTTTTTATGACAACAACATAATAAACATTGGGCTTGGTTAACAATTCGAAAATGATTGGAAAACCAATCTTTTTATCGAGTTTCACCTTCGATAACTATTTAGTGTGGAATAGATAAGTATTCGATTCGAGAACTAGACCATTCTCGGCCTTCGTTATCCAATGAATTTTTTCTTGGTTATGAATTCGAAATCTAGCACATTACCGAATTGAAATTTTAATGAGAGAGAGTGATTGTCTTATATTTCAATTTGAGAAAGAGCTGGATTTCACTTCCTCTCTTGTTACTATGGTTTTGATTTTTTTTCGAACCCATCTCGAGTGTATTTCCAATACATTATGAACGTTGGGGAACTAAGGTTGGATTATGAGTTCGTTTTCAGTTCGATGTGCATATTGGACATCGAAGGTCATTTTCGAACGTTTGCCAAAATGTTTATAGGGTAGTGTTCGTCCAGCGGTTGAAATCCAACTATGTACTAAAATTAAAGAGAGTTGTGTTAAAGTGAAGTGAAGTGAAATGATTTCAGGTGAGGTGAGTTTAGATAAGTAAAGGTAAGTTAGGTTGAATTAAGCTGAGGTGAGGTGAGTTGAGATAAAGTGGGTTGAGGTTAAATAACATTAGCTTGGGTGAGTTAAAGTGAGGTGAATTGAGGTGTGGTGAAATGCGGAGAGTTGACATGAACTGAGAGTAGTTGATGTTAGGTGAGATGAGGGAGTTGAGACGATTTTATATCAGCTGCAATAAGTTGAGGTGATATGCGTTGCACAACATAACATAACATAACACAGCATAACATAAAATATAGCAAAACATAGCATAACATAACAAAACATAGCATAACATAACAAAACAACATAACATAAAATATCATAAGATAATATAACATAGCATAACTTTGCATAATATAACATAACATAACATAACATTGCATAATATAACATAACATATCTCAAATACATATTTTTTCTATTTACATACAAACATACATACATACATACATATATGTAAGATTTTGAAATTTTTAGCACATCATGTGATTATATGCGATGCGATTTCATATCATGCGATATATAATATCAAGTGATATTTTTCATGCAATTTTCAATCGCAAAATTCAAAATGCCACTTAGTTTCGTATATGTATATGTATGGACATATTAGGGTGATTGACTCGGTCTTTGCAAACCGGTTTCAATCGTTATTCTTTAATATTTTTGAAATCTTGAGTACCGGTTTTCGGAAAAATGCGAATAGACGAGTACAAGTATTCTCAGAAAATACATATATGTATATTAAACCGTACAATAGTTATACGATATCGAGTAAAGACAGTGAGCCAAAATACGCATTGCCACGCACGCAATGCCGACGATTTAGTAGCGATAAAAATTTCATCACGAAAGAACTCTAATGAGCTTTTGGCTTTAATGAAGGCACGTTCCAAAATAGAAGCAAACTGTGCTAAGTTTTCTGTGGCTAAGTACAAATGAATTAAGGCAGCTTCCCGCTTCAAATCCTGTCAACCGTGAAAGTAGCGATCGTAGCCTAAGTACCGATACAGCCCTAAGCAAACCAAAGGAAACACCTCCAACACAATGGCGACCGAAGTGCATGTGTGCCGGTGACCACTGCCCATACGCCCGCTGAATGTGCCACACGACATTGCCGGCCAAACAGAAACAAAAACATAACCACAGCCACATAGTCGAACACTTCACTATAATATGTATGTATATATGTAGAACTATTTAGCTGGGGGGGAATCGGGCCGCCCTAGTCGTCGACATTCGCACGCATTTGCCCAAAGCTTGGCAAGCCGTGCTCAGTTCGCTTTTGGTTGTCGACGAGTGCAATACTTACTTACAGCTTGTGGAAGCCAAAGACGCACACAATCAGTTACCCCATTGTCAGTCAGTCAGCAGCGTTGTCGGCGTGCGGTAGTGTTTAGTGGCCAGTTGCAAGCGGGACACAAATTTAAAAATTTTGAAAAATATTGATTTAAAAAATAAAAAATTTTAAATTTATGTGCAATATTTTGTGAAAATAATTTTGCGGCGCAATTAATTTTAGAAAACCAAATAAAACCTGAAAAATTTCAATAAAAATTGCCAATTCAAAAAAGTGCATAATGCAATAATTTTCGATTTTGGCACAGCGAATTACTGGGAAAATTGTGTGTGGGCGTGTTTTTATTCTGCGCCGAAGAAAACAAAAATCTAAAATCAAAAGTACATACATACATACATACATACATATCTAAAGATTAGCTGCATTTATTTATTAAGCAACAAGTGCCTTTGCAGCCGAAAATTAAAAAAAAAAAATTGGGTATTTGCGAAAACAAAAACAACTATTTAAAGCGGAAACGATGTCCAGTGCAGCGCATATCCTGGCATTGCTCTTGGCATTGGCATTAGGCTGCACAGCAGGTGAGTTGGTTTTCTAAACATTTTACTTGTGGTTCATAGACCTTTTGAAAAAAACTTTAGTGCGGCATATCATCTCGATTTCTTACCATCGAAAGACACTCGCGGAATACTGAAAATATGTACATATGCGAGAGTTGCAACAGTGATAATAGATCAAAAATAAAAACAAAAACCATTTCGAAAAAGTTTTTTTTTTTTTAATTAAAAGCAAAACGTAAATAAATTTAAGTTAAATAGTTTGCCTTGATTGGTTTCATTTCGGTTCTGAACGCGTTTCGAAGAACTCAGTGACTGGAAATAACGAAAATAAAGCTTATATTTGTTAGAAGAGAAAATTCGGAACCAATTTTGCAGTAATCGTAGTTATAAATGGAGAATTACAAGTTTTTGAAAGACTTTGTTTTTCCGTTTTTTGGATTTTTTTTTTACTGGGTCTATACAGCGACTTTCGTTTCCTTCAGCGCTCGACCCGAACTACATCTCACTTTCCGATCTCATTTGCTTCATTTACATTTTTCTTTTTGACTTTTCTCTCGTCTTCCTCCTTCCTTCCAATGCAGCGCCAAATCCGCTATAGCATTCCACTAATCACTGCTCGCTTCTTCTCCAATTACGTGCCGCCCTCACTCTTTCCCACTTGACACACACCGCCACCTACTTCCCCTTCCACAGTGTGCGCTTACTGTTCTAATAAAAGGGTTGCATTTTGTTCGCATTATCGTCGTTTTTGTTTCAAACCTCAATTCATGTTTGTTTTTTTTTTTTTTTGCATTCGGTCTGGCGCCCGCCATTGCATATGAATGCCCGTTAATTATGAGCTGCGCCGCTTAATACAAATTCCACCTGAATTCCTAACCTTTCCCCCCTCCATGGCTGGTCATTCCCGTTTTTTGTTGCACTCAGGCAAGTTCATTGAACTGTTTCCGCTTCCGTTGTAGAGTATCACTTGGCACTCTGTCAAAAGTGTAATTTAATGTTTGAAATGAATTTAAATGCCGCATTTGATAATTCTGAATAGGAAAAAGTTTGTAAATTAAATTTTTGATATAGCATAAAAGCACAGATAGCTTTGAGCAGATGTTGCATCAACTTGAAGCCATATATTTGGATTTTATGACTCAAGTGTCTCCCGCTTCACTGGGAAAAACTTAAAGTTAAAATAGTTAAAATAACCCCAGCTGTCGTAACTTATCTAAATTGAATAGACTGCCGTTGAAGACGCCCAGGCCTTTCAATTATACCGACACAAAAAATGCATTTCGGACTCACGTCTCGGATTGCAGAGAGAACAAGGTTCGATCCCTGATCCGAGGCTCTCGGCAGGCAAGAGAAAACCTTCGAGTGCATTTCTGCCACGAAAAAGCTTCTACTTAAATGCGGTTCGGAGACGGTGCTTTTTGAATACTCCTTGCGAATTAATCGTAGCGCTTTCAACAGAAGCAATATTTTAATATTGAAACAAAATGGTTTTGAAAGCTAATTTTATTCCTTTTCACAGAAAAATACTGCCATTGACCCACAATTACTCCTTGACATTAAAAAATCGGTCAAAAAAAGTGTTCTTCGAAAAAAAAAACATACAAACCCACCAGATTTGTTCCGAAAAGCAAAATTTTTGTATGTTTTATTGAACTAATATTATGGATTTTGAGACGAGAAACACGATTCCATTGTTAAAAAACAAAAAAAAAAATTTAACACATCAATTTTAGAAATGCATTTCTGACTGCATTCTTTTTTTATTTGCATGCAGCTGTGCATCCTTCTCACAATTTTATATCACTCGAATAATAAGTAGGCTATAGTGCTATTCAAGATCTTTAATTTGAGCCAAGGTGGAAGTCTTTGGGCCCTTTACAATGATAGGAACGATGTGAAGGATATAATTTTTAGTTACTTAACTCTTTTTTAATTCATTATACATTTTTTTACAGCATTGTACTTCCACAGTAGTTTGCCCAATAATAGCAGAATAAAGTTGTCACCCGTGTTACGAACTCTCACACAACATCCTGCTACCACCTTTAATACGGTCCTTGAGTCACATTATCGCCAATAAAAATGAATCGGCGAAAGATCAGACCATCAGTTGAGGGCACTTAGTTACGCAAATAAATAAATGTCGCAACGTAAACCAAAAAGCGCCACAACTCGAAAAAACCCAAATGTGTTGGAGAGCCAAAAACCTGTAAATGCTGCATAAGTGATGCAAGCAAAACAAAAGCAGTCTTAATAATATTTTTCCAGTTAAAGAAGATGGTGATGAAGATGAAATTTTGGCGGACGTTAAAATCAGGGCATGTGAACTGTTTTATCGCAAAAAATCAATTTTTAAAAATTTAGAGTTGTGACTTTTTTCGATTTAAAGTGCGATATGTACATAAATATGTATGTAGATATGAAACATAACTATATCATCCCTGCAGTGTAAAGCCAAACGCATCAGTAAAAATACCAGTTCATTAACTAGCATGAGCTAAAGCGATGGCCTACCAATTCCTACATCTGCCTTTGAATTGTCAAAGCTAAAACTAAAACGCAATTAATTACCTACTTTTCTCAAAAGTTTCGGATGTGGCGTCGCGAGAAAATTGCCGCATCTGGTACTGTAAAAAAAGTACAATAAAAAAGTCAAAGTAAAAAAATGCATTAAAGAAACAGAAAGAAAGAAATTCGCTACCTAGAGATTGAACCGCGAGGAAAATGACATTCTTATTCTTTTCACGGGAGATGAATTGACGGGATAGTCGTCAACCAATATGATGCTACTAAATATTTAGTAATGCTAATGCATAGCCGTACACTTGACATTTCGTAGGCCATATTGAAAATACCAGTCACTAGTATGGAAACAAGATGGAGGTTAGGCTAAATTCTAGTTCACAACTAGTAGCTTTCCCTGCAGGGAAAGGTGAGGTAGAACTACAAGAATGTGTAAAAACCAAAAAAATAACAGTAGTCATTTTATATAGCCTACTTATCAAGACAAGGACTAAAAACAGTTTGTTTGCATGCAACCATTGACATAATAAAACTGCCTTAATACGTACATATGTATGTATATTTTAGTGGTGCTGAAGTAAAGTAAGAAAATTGTATATCTCAAAAAGCATACTCGAGTATGTAACTAGAAAAAGTTCTTAATGAAAAATCAAGCCTGCAAAAACAAATAGTTATGTCTACGAACACTTCCAACACTTCAGTCGTACGTCCGACGTGCCACTTAGCAGTTCACCTTAAAGCTTAGTATCCAGCTCTTAAGAAAACGGTCAAGAAAAAATTGCCATTATTTCGCGTGTGTGTCCAAGGAATTTTGACATTTTTTGATACTTCACAGCCTGTTGCCTCACTCTTTCCTCAAGAAATAATGGAACGGGCATATATTTCTGCTGCAAACCTGGGTTGCCTTGTGCTCTTTTTTCACAAAAAACTTTAGAAAACCGTAGTAGAAAGCGTACTAAATTTCTGAAGAACTGCGTACTGCCTTAAGGAAATTTGACTCAAGAAAATTTCTTAGCCATTTCTTGTATGTCATTTTATATGGAGTTTTTGCTTTTCTTAAGAGCTGGATACTAAGCTTAAAAGAGCCACACCCTGCGGAATTATTGGAAACGTAAACAATACAAATATGTACATACATACATACATAAGAATTGACATCTCCCACACAAAAAGTAGGAGTCAAAAAGCCTCTATTTATAAGCGCATATCGTGTGCAAAAAAAAGCACTGCACATTGAGCAGTGTCGGCAAAATGGGCTTTTAAGCTAGAGACGATGGCCTAGGGGGTAGTGATTTGTCTACAAGATTTGCTATCGGCCGGAATCAAAGAATGGGAACATATTCAGAGACTTTGGAGAAGATCTATCTTCGCGTTTTTGAGAAAATACATTCCAAACTTCAATCGCGATTTCCCACAACCCGTCGAAATTAACAAACGACAATCTTTTACCCAGGCGACGATTTGTAAATATGTGTGTCTCTGAGAGATTTTTGGGTTAGTGTTAAGAGTAAATATCATGAAGTCGCTAAAAAGGGTCATCTTAACTTTGCTTCCTTCTGTCACAACGTACTCCGTCGACAGGGTTTTCAGCTTACACTTATTTATACAAAAAACAGATTCAGGTCGAAATTGGATGCTACCCCTAAAATACTCATACAGCTTTCAGACATTATATCGAACTACTATTTTATACAATAATTACTAACAGTGAAATAATTTCATTCTTCACATTAAAATTTAAAGTATTTATACTATTTCTAGTAAAAGTGTTTATTCGTATTTAAATTGCACTGCCTTTGATTTTTAGTAATTTGATGTGGGGTTCCACAAAATGAAATGTGGTTAGTAAGGGTTCCATCATCTTAAAAGTTTAAGAAGAAGAGAGTCTTTTTTCCTTTTATCATTGTAAACGATCTCCGGATATAATATAAATTTATATACGTTGTCTGGTTTTAGCATCTTTAAACTTGCACTTTGCATACAAAAATAGAATGGACTATAAAAGTGCCAACTCGAACTCAATGCAAAAATTCTGATTAAAAAGTTTGAATTCTGATGAAAATCTGTAAGTTTTTCTTCGTTTTGTGCCAAGTTTGAAATTCTGTTTGTAGAATGAGCTAAATATATATTCATTTATAAAATATGAAACGAAAAAACATCACATTTTCAATAACGCAAGGAAAAATAGAGAAAGCAATTAACTATACAAATACCTTCTCCGATTTCAGTTAAAAAAAAATGGCAATGTACATACTTATACATCTGTACATCCATTTTCCTAAGCTCACGTCACACAAATTACGAGCCGATAAGACTTTCGTGGCTGAGACAGTCACTAAAACAATTCACTTATTATTTCCGTAGCAAATTAGAGGCCTCAAAGCAAATGACTACCTTTAAAAATAATTTTAACTTTTTCAACAGGTAAATTGTTTCAACAAAGTTGTGTCAAATATTTGCATTTATGTACATACATATTAAATGTTTTATTTCCAAAT